TTGCCCCTGGTTCAACACTTCTGCCTATGGCTTCTCCATTCATGTTTGATGTTTCTCCTTTCCAGGTGAAGGTTCAGAGAACTTGATGCTGTTTTACTGCTTATAGAGTAAATACTTTGTCTTTGTTGTTTTAGTCTTGTAGTTTCATGTTATTTTTGTTGTAGAAAATAGTTTCATAGAAGCAGTCAAAGGAAGAAAGACTTGCTAGATTAATCGTAGATTTGTCATATATGGTCAAATTCGTTACAGGTTCATGTAGAATTATATGTTTAGGTATTTCAACCGTTAAAATGTAAATATTGGTGCTCTGAAGCTAGGTTTGACAGTATTTGAGTTTTTGTTTTTTGGCTCAACTACCAAGCTGTTTGACATTATTAGAATGGTTTTATGTTTGTGTCCATGACAAATTGGTTATGAATTATTACAGTTTCTTGTGTTCTAATCCCCATTGTTCTTTTATTTTTTCTTTCTCTTATCCTTGGCATTACTAACGCATATGTTAAACTTCTTCCAGTCATCACCTGTTATGTCTGTTCCAGCTCGTTGGTCTCATGTTCCTGCATCCCCTCTTCAGTCTATTTCCCTTTCTATGCCATTGCAGCAACATGCTGAAGGTGCAATTCCTTCTCAATTTAATCAGGGGTCTTCTGTTGATCAGTCGTTAACTAGCAACAAGTTCCTTGAGCAACAATCCTCAACACCATCTGATACTAGCCAGAAATTCCCTGTGTTGACTGATGCAACTGTCTCCCAGTTGCCAGATGAACTAGGGTTGGTTGAGCCATCAAGCTCCACATTTGCAGGAGCTTCAACACAGAGTATTGCTGTAAAGAGTTCATCCCTAAGTGCTGTTTCTGATACTAATACTAGTACTAGTAAGAAGTCTGACGTCCAAAATGGGAGTGGCAGTAGCAGCAGTGGCCAAAACACAAGTTCTGCCTTCAAGACCAATTCCTCCCAGCAAAAGAATATGTCCTCTCAGCATTACAGCAATTCCTCTGGGTATAACCATCAAAGAGGAGGTGGTGTTTCCCACAAGAACAGTTCTGGGGAGTGGTCCCACCATAGGACAGTCTTCCAAGGAAGGAACCAGTCCTTTGGTGGAGATAAGAACTTTCCTTCTTCGAAGATGAAACAGATTTATGTAGCTAAACAACAGCCCACAAGTGGGACTGGGACACCAGCAACATCATGATGAAAGGAAAAATGGGCTTCTCGAGAACCAATGGAAGCGAGGAACAAATTTGAAGGTGCCTCTTCTTCACCTTATTTCTTTTTGGTTAATTTTGTCATATCAGTGGCTGCTAAATAGTGGTGAGTGCTCTGGTTTGGATTTTACCGGTATCTATTAATACATCGGTGCTGGTTTGGTAATGAAGTTTGAAGTACTGATATGGTAGAGCAGTTTTGTTTTTCTGTGACATTTTAGTGGTGTGCTATCGACCATGGCACTCCTTTAGTTTTAGGTGCATAAGTTTTCTTTTGATTGATGTATTGAAATTGTTGACGATACAGCTGCTAATTTTTTTTCAAGTATAATATGATAAATGTAGGCTCGGATAAGATGTTTCTTTCTCACCCCCGTTTACATTATCTGCCTTGTGCTTTTTGACTTATGTCATTTTTTGCCTTGGAATTTTTCTTGGAATAATATTTGACTTTTCATATTTTAAGAGAGACGAGTATTTTTAGAGATCATTTGATATCTTCTTTTTTTTTGGTACATATTTGATATCTTCTTTGTATCCACGTAACATCGCCAAAAATAGTAGCACCAGATTACACCATGGTAACGAAAGATATGTACACGCAACGCGGGACTTTCGATCCTTTTCTTGCTCCGTTGTGAATTTTTTACCATGAAAATTCATTATAAAATTTAATAAGTAAATATATTTAATTCAGAACTAACAAAATGTGTTGTAAGATTTTTTTTTTTTTAATATGTTTACAAGAATCGAATTCAAACTATTGTTTTGAAAAAAAGAGAAAAAAGAGAATGCACGTGAATATGACTTTATTACTATTAAACTCGAAAGTTCAAATACAAAAAATATTGTATTAAAACTGTTGTCTGAATAGAAAGAAATACATTTTACCGTAACTCTATTACTATTTTTTTTT